GGTTTTAACCTAAAATAAGGCAAACTGAGCAAAATTGAGCAAAGAGGACAAATTTAAAATCCAAATACACTTCCTTGCAGACAACTATTCAATTCAATTGCCAGTAAGATATTGAATATTCTTTTTTGAATCACCCTAATTCAATGTACAGTACCGTATATACTGCCTAGGAAGAAGTTCAAATCATAAATATGATAGGGAAATATCTAATGGCTCAGAATGGCCTTTTCAAGTAGCCAATAAGCTCTAAAAGACTGCAAAATATTAAATCTGGTGAAGCATGAGCTATATGTTCCAGAATGAGCCCATCTCCCTGTCATAGTCCCCCTCCTTGCTCCAGGACAACCTGGAACTGGGTCTTAAGGAGCTAGCACACAGGGCTACTCTCTGGATGCCAGATGATGGCAGGGCCACTTCCCTGCAGACAGTAGTCAGCAAGGTGAAGCCTGCTGGCCATAGTCATGACAGCTGAGCTGATCTGTGATTTCATCCTCTCCTGCCAATGTCAGGTCCAGGTTTGTCGATATGTTTGTGCTGCTGTACAAGATACTGGAGAGAGGCCATCTGCCCTGTGTGTCAGATTCCAGACTCCACATGGTTATGGCAGGGTTTAAGAGAAGTATCCACAGAGTGAGGGGCAAGATTAGAATAAAGAGGTGTTAATGGTGTGAATTGGGAAGGTAAAGGAAACTGTCGGGAACTCAGTGGAAAAAGAGGGTTGAAGAAAATTAAAGGGGGAATCAGGGGAAATAAAGAAAACAAGGGAAAAAGACAACCATCTCTGTTTGCTTAAAGGTCAAAGAGTAAAAATAATATAGAAAGTCTCCTTCACCTTGCCAGGTTCAACAGCGTGCTGCATTTTGGCTTTTTAAATAAAGTTTACACCATTGGGTTCTGGGCTCTTCTTCCAGCTGACAGGCTCTGTCTTCCAATCATGTCCACCCCCAACCCCCTGAAGCACCCATTTTTTCTCCAGACCCCACACTTCTCCAAACCCCACCCCCTGAACCAAGTTCAGTTTCCACTTATGGATTACGTCTCTCTCTGATTGTCTAGCACTCATTTTCTAAGATCAATCTCTTTACTCTTTTTCACTTACTAGCCTAAATCCATATTACTCTATAGTTTTAAGAAAGATTCATGACAACTAGATCATGCTATTCAGTAACTCAAGTTTTACTGTCCAAATATGTTTGTGTGTGTGTATATATATATATATATATGTATATATAATATCTGTACATAATATATATATATACACATATATGTATATTGTGTATGTATGTGTGTGTATATAAATAAATAAAACTGGCATTTGCAAGAGCTTTAAAATCTATCAGATTGCACGTTTCTTTAGCCAAACAATAAATACTCTTTGATGAGTCATGACACTTCACTTCCATGTGTCCACTTTAAGAAACAGTTACAAAATCAGATGGTTCAAAATAAACAAATAAACAAACCAGCAAATAAAACCAGACTAGAGTAGGCATCCAGGCATTTCTTTTCTAGGCTCTGAGGCAAATTCCAGGTGCTGTCTTCTCTTTTATCAATTTTATTTTCTCCTCTGCTTTTGGAAATTCCATTCATTCTTTAAGTCTGATCCACAGGACTTTACAGAGTTGGGAAGGGGATGAAAGGGGGTGGAACAGAAAGGAGAGTGGTGGGAGGGAGAAACCTAGTATTTATCAAGTTACCTGAGAGTAAGGACCTTGACTGTCTTTCTCACCTCTAAATACCTTGGTACCGAGAACAAGATCTAGTGAATGAGAAGATGCTCAATAAACACGTTTTGAATAAATGAAATTACTGACTCTGTACTGTGTGCTGAGGGCCATGCTGGATGGTTTTAAAAACAATACTGAATGATTGGTCAATAAAAAGTAACTCAGTATAACAATGTGCCCTCCTTTGTGTAATAAGAGAATGCATTCCCTGAGGTGGTACCTTCAGAGCTTGGGCTCATGCTGAGGCTGTGATCCCAACATCTCAGTGGGCAAAACCATGGTAGATAATAACTTAAGGAAGTGCCAGCAAACTATCACTCATGCGCCAAGTCTGGCCTGCAGATTGTACAGCCCAGGAGCTAAGAATGGTTTTTATATGTTTAAAAGGATTATAAAACAAAAAGAAAAATAGACAGCAGAGATCGAATATGGCCTACAAAGCAAAAATATTTACTATCTAGCCCTTTACAGTAAAAGTTTGCTGACCCTTGTTCTAAGGAGACACTAAGAATGTGCTTCTGAAGTTAAGTTTTAATCTAAAGTGTGTTTGGCTTGAACTTGTGTTCAAACATGGTGAGACTGCAGGCCTGGGCTCTGTGAGCACTCTGGAGTCACACACACAAGCTCGACGTTCTTTGTCCAAGCTTAGAGCAGCTCCATGGCACCAATATGTAGTCTTCACCTTTGTTAACTCTTGCTTGTTCATGTGACTCTTCCGTAGGTGTTTTTCTACATGATTTTCTGGTTAGTTTTGCAGTGCAACAAAGTCTTCTCCTAGAAAATCTATGGGTGGCAAAATCATAAAGGTGTTTCATCAACCCACTTAGTGTAATGATTAGAGAGCTTTGTTATGGAGCTTTCTTGAATTCATCTGGCTCTAGCTGAAGTACTCAGGATGTGACCTCTCTTCCGTCTTTTATTAACTCTAGGCAATTTTTGGTTGTTTTTAATTCATTGATGATTTTCTGGTCCATTCTTCCTCTCCTCTCCTTCTGTGATTCCAATTATACTTATTTAAAATGGTTGATATTTTCCCACAGGTAAATTATCAACAATCTTTTCTTTCCATTTTCCAGATTGGATAATTTCTATTGTTAGACCCATCAAGTGATTTTTTAAAAATTTCAGATACTGTATTTTCTAGTCCTAAAATTTGATTCCTGTTTAGTGTCTCCTTTTTGCTGCTAAGATTTCATATGTGTTCATTGATTATGATCATATTTTTCCTTATGTCTTTGAGCATAATTACAATAGCTGCTTTGAAATTCTTGTCTGCTAATACCAACATACACGTCATTTTGGAGTCAGTTTCCATTAATTGCCTTCTCTTATGACTACGGGTCACATTTTTCTGTTTCCTTGTATGTCTAGTAATTTTGAATTGTATCCTGAACATTGCACATGTTATGTTAATCTATAGCAGTGCTGTTCAATAGAAATAAAACATGAGCCACATATGTAATTTTAATTTTCTACTATCCATATTTAAAAAGTAAAAGAAACAGGTGACTTTAACATATTAATAAATTTTAATAATATATTGTATTTGACCCAATGTATTCAAAATGTAATTATTTCAACATGTAATCAATATTAAAAATTATTAAGATATTTTACAATATCTTTCTATATTAAATCTTTGAAGTCTGGTATGTATTTTACATTTAAAACACATCTTGATTTGGACTAGCTAGTGGCTACCATATTGATCAGCACAGCTCTAGAGTATCATTCTAGGAGAATACTGAGGTTTGGTCCAATACGAGCTACTCCGTCATTATGGGAAGCAGAATCATTGACTGCCAGTTTTTAAACTTTATTCCTTGGTGTTTCACAGAGGTCCTGTGGGCCTACTGTGAGATGAGGGGAAGGCCGAGTACACTGGGCTACTCTTCCCCATTATATATACATCTCAATTCAATCAGAGCAACTCTGATTTCATGTTTCATATATTTCATTTCTGTGCATAACTTAAAAATATTTTGATACTAAAACAATATAAAAACATAAATGACTGTAAAATATGATTCTTGAATGGGTCCCTAGGATTTTTCTTGCTCAATCATGCCCTTGAACCCATGCTGACCTCTCCTCTTCTAGAGTCACTTATTCTCCTTTCTAATCATATCACAAGAACCAGCTGTCTCTGCTTTCAGGAAAAGGGACTGTGGTTTGTCTGCTATTTAAGTCTTCATGCTTGCAAGTCCTTCCTTCTTTGGCCCCACATGTGTGTGATTGATTGACTGATGGATAGATTGATCAATCAACTGATAGGTTTGCTGGATGGCTGTTCACACCCAGCATGCTCAGGACTTGCAGAAGTGAGCTGTTCCTCATGGCCATCAGCATTAGGGTAGGATTTCATTCTTAATTTAAAAGGACCACATAAAATCAATGAAACAAGTCTCACCTCACTTTCCTTCCTGTCTTCCCGCTTTCATTCATACACATTTTACCAGTTTGACAAAGAAAAGAGGGTCAGCACGAAAACTAAATGCTTTGTGAAACCTTTTCACCAGGCAAGTGGTACGGATCAAGCTTAAGAAACCCAAAAAACTGCCAGGTTAAAAGTCCAGCCTCCTTACAAAAGCTAAACATGCCTAACCTGATGCACAGAACCACAAAACAAAATCCATGCACCTCAACCCAGGGCAGAACGGGAGGCCAGTCATATTACATAATATAACAGAGTCAGATGCAAAGACCCACTAAAGTGGAAATAAGGAGGCTTAACTGATGAACACATTTCACACAATTCTTCTCAGCTGACAACTCAAGAGAATTCACTTCAGAGCACACAAGTACACGGCCATGAAAGCTAGGGTTGGAAACAGAAGTTCTGATGGATCCCAAACAACAAATAACTTACTGACATTAATTTCAGCCACTGAAATAGACCAATCACAAACACTAACTTATGTACACCTACTCACGGGTGCTCATACTATGACACTGATTTCCTTTTTCTCCAAGACACGGTAATTTGCAGGAGGAGTTGACACGTACCAGTTGAAAGTGTGCGGGATGGCTATTTCTTTTTTCACGAGATGGTCTTAATGGCCCGCTATGAGACGCCTTCCAGTGAGCACTGTACATTTCTATCAAAGTTCTGGTTTAGCCAGAAATTCAGTATTTTGAGCAAGCAGAAATCACTCAGCAACAACAATGGAACACAGACCAAGACTGTGGTATTAACTGTGCATCACCATCCCCCATTCATGGGCGTTGCTGTTTTACCCTGGAGGGTCCAAGTTTGAGAACACAGCTCCTTACCGTGACTGGCATGGGTGCAAGTTGCACCTTCGGATCTGGGGCTCCGGACGGCTGGCTTGAGGGCAGTCACTGTCGTTCACCAGAGTCGTGGTCTTGTTAACAATCCGTGTGCAGGACACGATGGTTCTGCGTTCCCCTGGAAACCAAACCACACAGAACTGAGAGGTCGTGGTACACACACCTGGTAAGGCCATTCATTCACCTTATGGAGGAGTGTTCAGGTGCATCTTTTGATCAGTTTGTCATTTAAAGTGACTATTGTAATGCCTTGTTGTTTGTCAGAGAGGGAGAACCATAATCTTTGGGATGAGGGTGTGTAAGACATGGCAGGGGCAGCATGGGGCAGGAGAAAGATTCTAGAACAGGATCAGAAAGAAGCAACACTTTAGATCAGCCATGTCCTTGGAAAGCTTGGGGTTCACTGAGGTCAAAGTTGTGATTTGGGTCTTTAATTTCCAACAAAGATTGCCAATCTCTGTGTCTGTTCATTTGATGTTTAAAGTCTATGGAGATCTGGTCTTCATTAAACAACTGTATATCAGCCCTCACCAGAGATGATGGCTACTTATTACAGAACTCCTACTTGCTGGAGAGAAGTGAGAAACAGGAAGGCTAGTCTGAAGGACACAGACCCAACCTGAGAATTTGTCTCTCCATCAACTGCCGCTCGTGCCTAAGCCTCACGTGCTCTCGGGAAGCTTCACTAACCGGTCACCCGAGCTGGATGTAGTCATTCTTTTGGGTGTTCCCAAAGCACCCTGCACACTAGTTGACCATGACTTTGTTAGGAGTGGGGGCGAATGATTGGGAGCTAGAAGGGCGGCCTTTGGAGCCAGGCTGTCTGGGTTCAGACTTGGCTTACTCACTAGCACAGTGAGCACAGGATTGCTACTTAGCCCTCACGTTTCTGTGCCTTTGTTTCCTCCACTGGACTGACTCGCTTAACTTCCCTATGCCTTAGGGTGCTTTAGGGATGGTTAAAATGAATTGATACATATAAAATGCTTAGAACAGAACCTGGCAGGGGTTAACACTTCATGTTAGCTATATTCCTATTGTTATTATTTGGGAAGTGTCATAATAAAAGATTAACAGGAAGTCAAGCACGACTATATGGATCCCACACTCCTAAATCAATCTGTCTCCTGGGGAATTGGTCATGAAGAAATGACTCAAAATTATGGAGCCCTCAACTTGTGTAAGCATAGAAAGCACGGAGATGCCTCAAGCCAGATTTCTGTTTGGACTGCAGGTCAGGGAGCTGGCAGTCAGGGAGCCATAAAAGGATGCCAGTAGCGACAGCAGCAGAACAGTACCCCCTTGCCCCCCAGCCAACGGAGCCTGCTAACTCTTCCATTTGGGCCACGCTTACTTTGTAGCAAGCTGCCCCAGTGGAAAAGGTCGGTGCCATCAGCTCCGCAGGACTGAGTGTCGGTGAGGCCATGCCCAGGTCCCACCTGCCAGCCCACCCTCTGGGTTGGCATTCCAGAATCCAGGTCAACCTTCTGTTCTAACTCTGTGTCCATCAAAATTCACCCATCCTGCATCCATCCCCCATCACCCCCCTGTGTGTCCCGTCAGGGTGATAGAGTACGCTGTACTAAGGGGGCTGCTGGCTAAGAGTTCAGAATGCTTCCAACCGCTCCTCCTAAACAACACAGTAATGACTACGATGCCTTTTGTTCATATTGATTTTTGCAGTATTTGAGTCTCCTCCCTGCAGTGAGCATGAGGGCTGATCAGTATAGAGAGAATAAATCATCTGCTAATATATGGAGGCAAATCATGAAGCCAGAACTCAGGCTCTGAACGTTTCACTGGAGTTGGAGGACTTTTTCTTTCCATTGTGTTACTGTTGGTCCCATTGGTTTCCCTGTATTTCCATTGGCCACTGGGGCAAAAAGGAAAGGGTATTTGAGGGTCAGAAACATCTTCCAGTGCCCCTCTACCAAACAGCAACAGATGGAAGTCTGTTCTGTTCATTCCCAGGGTCACCTGTCACACTTGTGACACAACCATTCATCGGCCAAACCTCCACTCGGATCAGCATCCAAGGGCCCCATGCCATAGGCAAAGCTGGGCACAACTCCAGCATGGAGGAGTTTGGAAGACTCTGCCCAAGTGTTTTGCAGAGAGATTTGCAGTGGGATGTGGTTACATTCCATGGAAATACAGGTTATGTGGCCAGCCTTTCCAAGGCTCTGTGTACCCGCCATGGAGTGCCCTGAATTCACTTCTCTGTTTGATAAAAACCCACACCCCATGAGCCCATGACCCTACTGCTCACCTCCTCCGCACTGCACACTGCAACCTTCCCAGCTGCTGTGGGTCCAGATGAACAAGGAGTCCTGCGGTTTTTCTGGTTCACTTTGATTTTCAGCAGTGTAGTTTACAGGAATGGTGTATTCGTAATGAATTCCATAGTTTTGGTCATGAAATAACAACACCTGGATCAGCAGCAAAATAAAAGACCATTTTGAAATAAAGCGAAAGCTCCCAGGGTTGCTGAACTTGCAAGCCAAGCTGTGCTGTGGCTGTCTCCCTACCAGGGGTAACCTGTTCTTTTCAGGGTTTCAAAACAGGTTCATTCCAGGGGCACACCTTTATTTCAGTCTTGGGTTCCCTAGATACTCAAATTCAGGGCAGGAGCCTATGTAAACCATCAGCAGGGAGTTCAACTCTTTTCCACTGGAGAGAGGACTGGTTTAGAAGAGGGATTGGGGATTAGCAAATCTGTGGGCTCTAACTGCACTTTACATGGAGAGCTGCTCCAGGCAGAGCAAAGTACCCGTTCCCACAGTCACCCACGAAGCTGCCCTTACAGGGAGAAAGACACAAATATACTGCTTTTCTTAAACAGGCATCTGAACCAGTAGGGTTACTCTACTTTGAAAATGAACACCACTCTTCACACCCCGAGCACCAGTCACTGCTATGTGTAAGGCAGGCTCAAGAGTAGACACAGCCCCCTGCAGGGGAATCTTGGGGATGCCCGTCAAGGATGTAGGAGCCTTCCTGCTGCCATGGGAGCTAGGATGATGACGATGCCCACGGGGTGGCACAGCCTGGCGCAGGGCTTAAAGCTGGGAGTGAGGGGAGGGGAGCCATCATCGTGCAGCTTGGGGACCCCTGGTTCTGCAATCCTGGTAAGTGGGAACTGGAAGGGCCTGCTCTTTGTTTGGTAATGCATGTTTCTAGCCCTGTAGAGAGAGACGTGCTCTACTGGCTTTATTTCACTATGTGTATGTAATGGTGCAAAAGAAGCACTCTTGTGGGAGCTTCAAGTGGCCTGGCTGTGGGTGGTATGTCCTTAGGCTACGCTTGGAACCAGGGGGCAGTCCTGGGTCTAAGCAGCTAGCAACTTCACTTCCAGCCCGGGGTCTGGGAGAGCCGGCCCGCAGGAGCTGGAGGCAGAGGGTGCTCCACCTGACCTGGGGAGGCCAGGTGGACGGTGTGCTGGACAACAGGAGCCGTCCTCCCTCCCAAGCATCTCCCAGCCCTCCAAGGGCTGCAGTTGCAGGCGGGGTGGGTTGGGGTGCTAAGAGCAGCCCAAACTGAATAAACATCCACTTCTCCAAGAAAGAGACTTGCAGTAATGCATTTGGAAAAATGCCTCCAGTTTAAAAAAAAAAAAAGGCTTTAAAAGAGATCTTTATTATCTCAGTATGGGAATAAGACTGGTGAATTGAGAATCCATATGAAACCAATTTCATGCAATTTTGTATGCGTGTGCATAATTGCTTTCAAATGCAGGTCCCCGTGGCTCTACGGGCGCTCCTGACCCTGCAAGCAATGTGCACACCTCAGTTAGGGGACAATGGATTTTCCTTCAGAGGCAGATGGGCTCCTCTCGTTTCTAGGTTTAAAAACTGGTAGTAACAATTGTATTTCAAGAGAGAAAAGTGATTAATGTTCAAGAGGGCAGGAACTTCAGCTGTGGTAGTTATTGCTTTCCCAGAGTTTTGTTTATTATGGTCTGAATGAATCCAGGCTGTGCATTTGCTTTAATGGGCTGACGATTCACTCACAGTTTATGAAAGCTTTTGGGAAAGAAAGGAAATAGGCCCATCTTGGTGTTTGCTAGAAAAGCAAATTCACATGCTAAAGGTGATGCTGCTATCTTGGGTTTTATCTTGTCTTTTACTTCCTCTTTTAGTCCCTCTGAATGACTGCTTTTAACTCAGGACAGGAGGATTTGTTCCAATGACTTAGATTAGGAAACAATCTAATCACAGAGAAATGATTTAGGTACCGGTCCTGAGGTCCCAGAAACCAACTTGCAAGTATATACCTGCAGTAGATTTAGTGTGTGGAGTGTTGCACTGATAGATTTCTGGACAGTTTATGTCATCTGTGGAAACTGGCTCCCCTTACTCTTATCAGAAATTGTAACAGGGTTAGGGCCATTGTGGGTGACATCTCTGCTCACATGTAGAGCTGGTCTCCTCAGGAGAGTCCCTGGGAAGTAGTCTGGGAATCTCTTGGGTGTCACCTAATCTTGAACAGCTGCAGGTTGCCAGTGACCACAAATTAATGGGGAGATAAGAACTTCCAAGTAGAGACTTTGGCAGGCATGGAGGACAAAATGTGCTTTGATTGCAGACACACAAGCTGTCACAACTCCCATTCTTTGGAAGGAGACATGGATTCAATAATTACAAGCTATCAAAAGTTAGTCACGAGAAGTCCTAAACCCTGAGAAGGCAACGGTGGCATTCCTGTCCCTGGAGATCTTTCATATTCTTAAAAGGCAGCATAACCGGATGTTTCAGTGGTTTGCATGGGGTCCTCCCTGAGACAACACACAAGACCAGAGTGCCCTGATCTGGCCTGATTGTACAATTTCTCGAGACCACCTGGGGACTGAATAGGCCTGTAGAATCTGGTTCTCCCTTGATTCCTGAATCCTTGTTGCAAGCAGAGTCTGGAAAACCTGAGTGGTATTGGTTTGGAAACAGTGTCAACAGTTCATTTCCAAAAGGTAGTTTCCGATGTGGATATACAAACTGTGGGGCAAATCTAAGCCATCTGATATTAAAACATAGACTGTGGGGCTTCCCTGGTGGTGCAGTGGTTGGGGGCCGCCTGCCGATGCAGGGGGCATGGGTTCGTGCCCCGGTCCAGGAGGATCCCACATGCCGCGGAGTAGCTGGGCCCGTGGGCCATGGCCGCTGGGCCTGTGCGTCTGGAGCCTGTGCTACGCAACGGGAGAGGCCGCAGTGGTGAGAGGCCCGCGTACCGCAAAAACAAAAAAAAAACAGACTGTGAGTGGGGCTGTCTGCTTAATAATGTCAAGTCTCCCTGGCGGCCACATGGCTAAGCATTTCCTTCCTGGAGGTGGTTCCTTTTGGAAAAGATGGGAGTTCTGCCAGTAAAGAGCTAGGGCAAAATTTTGAGAGGGCAGAATTTTGAAGCATGTGGCAAAGGGATTAGATAAGAAAAGACCAAGAGAGAGACTTGAGCAGCAGGTGGCCAGGCAATCCACCAGGAACCAAGTATACCTCCTGCCCACAGAGTCTCAGGGAACAAGTCAACTGGTAGACCTCTTGGAGCCGGTGGTCTCAAGACAAATGCAAAAGCACGGCAAATTACCATCAAATGCAGAGGCATTTTGGTTGGTCCCTTGGCGGAAATTTTCTCCCACAGGCCCCTTCTAACATAGCGGACGGTCGTGCCTGCAATCTGGAACTCTCCGGGGAGCTCTATCTTCCAGTCACTGTTGATGGATCTCTTGCTGGAGTCTTTGAGAGCTAGAAAGAAAATGGAACACCATGGAATCGGGGGAGTCAGTCTGTCTTTGAAGGGAGTCAGGGTGTCCTGAGCGGTGGATTGGAGGTCTCACTCTCTACCTCCACAGCGGAGAAGAGGGAGGCCTGCAGTGAGAGAAAGGGAGCTTTCTTTGAGAACAGAAGCCTGGCTCACAGGGAGAGAACAGCTCCTGACCCCAGGACCCTCCGAGAGAGAGCTGTCGTGACTCCTGCACCTCTTGAGCATGGGCCACTGTCTCAGAATCAGCTCACTCCGTGGGGGGTGCGGGGAGGAGTGCCAGAGAATGGAGACAGCCACAGCCCAATCACATTTCACGAGATTTACAGAGTAGGGGGTTTTCCACCAGATGAACAGATTCTATTTTAACGTGTCCAAGGCTACAAAACAGGATTTGTAGCTTTAGCAAAATTCATCCTTCATTTTACTCTTACCCACCTGGGGCTTTTTAGAGGGCAGCCTAACTCCAATGCCCCTCAAGGATTTGATAGCCCTGGATTAGTAAAGCAGATGCTCCTTCAAGAAACAGGTGTCATTCTATCAAACACGAGCGTCTGGAAGCCTGAGCTGCCTACAGGCGTGGCAGTAACAGTGAGCTGATGTCTTGTGGGTGGTGGGGGCCCTCCCACCCTCAGCTTTGTGGCCTTTGCTGGGTTCACATTTTGCTCTCTCACACTCCGTACAAAGTGTGTTGGAACTGACCAGGAATTGACATCTTGCTGATTGGCCATAGCAAAGATTTGGTTTTCCACACAAGCTATTATTATCTGAGTGCTCACCAGTGACTTTCTTTGTTGTTTCCTCACTTAGGTTTTAGAGTCATGTGGTTCTCATGAGGGAGCATTCTGCAATGAAATTCTGTTTTTTTGTGCTGTTTTGTTATTTAGGAAAGAAAGAAATAACTAGAACCTACTCTGGCATTTTGGAGGAGGTGGCAAATGAAAATGGGTGACAGTAAGTCTTTATGTCACTCAAAAAATAAAACTTTCCGTGCACCCCAAGTCCAATGCCATGCTCTCTGCCAGTGCAGCTAGAGTCCCCTGAGAACCAGATGCTCTCAATCACCTTGGGACCCTGCTCAACCCACAATCAGCGAAATCAGGTTCTATCCCATTCCCTACTCTCTGCTTATGAGGCCAGAAATATTAATAAAATGCCCACATTTAATACCAATTTTGGATAATGAGACTTGAAACCCAAAAGTGGTTTCGGTTAACCCTGAGTCCACGAACCCCTGGCTGGGTTAGGACCTGGTGGGTCCAGTCCTGGTCAGGCCACAAGCAGCTGGGGGATGCTGGCCTCCGCTTCCTCGTCTGCAGGACACAATGGTCCCAGCAGGCTCTCCTGGCCAGTAAGGGGGAGGTGCATGCTCAGGACTCTGTGCTTACAGGAACTGCCAAGAGAAACCGAGGGACCTGGGAAGGGCTGCTTTCCAGCAGGATGGCTTCCAAGAGGGGGTTCATACTCAGAGTGGCTGCCCAGTGAGTGGCTGGGGATTACAGGACTCCAGGGAAGGCTTCGAAAAGAGAAAGCTCTACCACTTAGAATCGAATGCTTCCCTTCAAGAAATTCTACCTACTATCGAGATTTCCTGGCTACTGGAAGGAAGTGAGACTGTTGGGATACTCACAATTTCTAAGGCTTTTTCTCTTCCTCAGCCACTGCCTGCAAGTCCCCATTTAAGGGGCACATTCTCTGGTTTAGCTCCTCCATATGCTTTTACCCATTTAACCTTCCCAACAACTCTCTAAGGTAAAGGATTATTTTCCTTTTTTCACAGATGTGGAAATGGGGGCACAGAGAGGTTAAGTAACCTGCCTAAAGTCACACAGCTATTACATTGTCATGTGGAGACCTGAACCTAAACACACCAAGCTCCCACATTCTTTAGGTTATAGCATCAGTCTAGAGTTTTATGACAGACACTGAAATGTGCAAATGTCATATTCTCAAAGAGAACAAATTCCAAGCTCAAATTACTGTGGGGGGTGTCTCACGTTCTACATACCTTCATAAAAATAACTAAACTTATGGTTTTCCACAGCTTCCAGTGAACTAATAACCTAAAAATACGTTTGGTCATGTTAGCTACTCAGGTATCTAGGCTAAAGCTGTATGGGTGTTCATTGTTCTTTCAATTTCTCTGAAGGTTTGGAAAATTGTTTCTTGCACATGCATACGTAAATCTGGTTTTCAGAATCAGTATGGGCTGGTGGGAAGTAGCAGACAGACAAATGAGGGAACAGACACCTTTAAGAAAAGCCTCAGTAGGGGCTTCCCTGGTGGCGCAGTGGTTAAGAATCCGCCTGCCAATGCAGGGGACACGGGTTCAAGCCCTGGTCCAGGAAGATCCCACATGCCATGGAGCAACTAAGCCCGTGTGCCACAACTACTGAGCCTGCGCTTTAGAGCCTGTGATCCACAACTACTGAAGCCCGTGCACCTAGAGCCCGTGCTCTGCAACGAGAAGCCACGACAACAAGAAGCCCACACACCACAACGAAGAGTAGCCCCTGCTCACCGCAACTAGAGAAAGCCTGCGTGCAGCAACGAAGACCCAACACAGCCAAAAATAAATAAATTAAATAAAAAAAAGAAAAGCCTCAGTAAAAACAAGTCAGGGAAGCACAGTGAGCAGACACATCCCTACACCAATCCTTTACCTTTATCTGAGGGCCTTGTAGCTGGTGATGGAGGCACAGCTCCTGCCCTTGGGAGCTCAATGTTTGAAAGGGAGACTGGTGAGAAGACAGATAAACACGATACACTTCCAGAAGCTCAGTGACAGAGGCCAGTCTGGGGCCCGTGCACAGTCGTGTGGGCAGAGACTGGGGCAGCTGGGGAAGGCCTTCTGAAGGAGGAGCCCTGAGCTGAGACTGAAAGAAAAGCAGGGAGAAGAGGTGGCCTGGAGCGTGTGGGCAGCTTGGGCTGTTGCTCCTTGCCTCCTTGTTAAGCTCAGTTTCTGTGCAGGGTGGTGGAGGGAGAAAGGTGCCCTGCCCCATGTGGAGAAGCAAGTGGAAGGTGAGGGAATACTGGAAGTCTGATTGGGAAGAGGAGGTGACAGAGAGGGGCTATGGAGGTGGAGAAGGAAAGAGAAGGCTCACTGTCATTGTCATTGGGGTGGGGACACAAGCACGTTGAGAACCCTTGAAACTGAGAATCAGAGAGATGAGCAGAATGAGTTTCTGTAAAGCTGTCTGCTGACCCCCGTCATACTGGGGTCACCCCACAGAACCCATTTCCCACACAGAGACCAGGGGCACATTGGGGTGGCCCTCTCCTCCTGTCTCAGCCCACGCGTGTGCCCCAGTCGACTCCTGCGTCAGTGCCCTAGGCTGGGCCCTGGCCTTGTTCTGTCTTAGGGCTTCTGTGAGCATCTAGTGTGTTGCTGCCTGCCATCTCTCTCTCCTTCTGCAAGTAACAACGCCCAGAGAGCTTTTGGGGATGTGTTCTTCCCCCAGTCACGTGGGGCTGACCCCAAACTCCACCCCAGCTCCAGGAGTGCGTCCATCACCCAACCCTGGAAGGTAAGAGTCAATTCTAAGACTTTCATTCACCTTGGGAAGAAGGAGCTTTCTTTCCACAGGTTGTCCAGAGACTTGATATAAGTCTTGCCAGTACGTGGCAAGAGGTCCCTAGATTAAAGTCAACTGAGAAAGGACAGCAGTGCCAGGACAGAGACTATTTCCCATGATATCATTTTAAGCCCCTGGATCCAGCAGTGTCTGAAGCCAATAACACAGAAACTGAGAACTGGGTTTAGCTTTCACACGTCACATTTGGAGGTTGGTTTTTAAAAAATACTAACCATGATGGGGCCAGGGCAGGCTGAGAAAGAAAATTACTAGTATGGATTCCTAGAAATCACGCTAGGATCCTCCCTAATGTCAGCTTAGTACCCCCTGAGATTCAGAAGGCCTGGTATACTCTATCCAGGCTCTCCTGGGCCCTGCTTTGCTCCGGCGCTTTGTTCAGGATGCGCGGCTCTTTCTCACTTGGCCTTGTTTCTAAGGTGCTCTAAAAGGACTTTATTGGATTATAAACAGAAAACCACCCCGCCTCCGTGCCAAAAGTCAAACACCTGTGAGGTCAAGAGTGGGAAGGACTGGGAAAAGTGCAGGAGGGCACACCTGGGGCCGATCATAAACCCATCCACAGAAATGCCGCGCAGAGGTGTGGGGGCCGCCTGGGGAAGCCCCACTTCTGCCGGCAGAGGCACTCGCTGTGAGTGACACAGGGGACAGATGAAGACCCCGCTGGGCCTGGTGGCATGCCACCCTCTCACCACCAGGGGAGTGTCCTGCTTGGCAGCAGGGGTTGGGGGAGGCGAATTTCAGGAGGCGGCCCGCAGGGTGGGTGGGGGAGGCCGGGGAGGAGTGAGTATGGTCAGAGAAGGGGGGAGGGCAAATGAGAGAGGCAGGCAGTGGCTCACCGGCTCTTCCAGAAAAGGCCAGCAGCAGGATGGGGAGGAACACGCCAGACAGTGCAGTGCTGGTGGCAGGCTCTCTGGGGAAAGCAGCCTAGATTTATAGTGCTTGTCACTATGCAAGGTGTAAATGTGCCCACATGACAGGTTTCAAGTTATCCACGTGAGCTCTGTGAAGGCAGAGATGGGAAGAGATGCGAACCGTGACCTCCCCCATCCACATACCGCTGCTGGGCACTCCCAGGACTTCTGAAGTCACCTGTCTTTGCAGTCACCTGACCCCCAGGTCTTGGCCTGGGGCTGCTGAATTGGCAAAATCTTATACTGTCACAGCCTCAGGGTATGTGTGTGGTCGGGGTCGGGGCTCTCACGGTTCCAGAAAGCATATACTTTGCTTGTCCAAGCTCTGCGGCTGCCATCTGCATGACGGCTGCAAACTTCCAGGCACCCCAGTCTCAGCTTTACAACTGCCACTTGACCCCTAGTCTGAAAGCCGGAGCCCCTTCCTCAGGACAGTGTGATCATGATGACACCCCTTCATGCATTTTGCAGTGGGATGAAAACTCAGAGGCAGAATTATAAGTAGCAGGCCAGCAGTTCCAAGAATCATGGGGATCTCTGCAAGCCTGTTGACTCTGGGGTGAGTCATTTAGTCAGCAGGATTCAAAATTTGCAGGTTGCCGTGGTCCATGCTGAGAAATCAGAACTTCCTGCTAAAATTGGAGTTTAGCACCTGACATCCCTTCAAAAGGGTAAGACTGCAGCCTCAGAAGGTCTGTTGGAACATCAAGATCTGAACATCACTGACAGTGAATTGATAGGTTCAATGTGGAGTCTGATGAGAAAACCACCTTGTGGGGCCATGTCAGCCCCAAAGAGAGAGTGTGCAGGTCACTCCTGGCCCATCTGTAGCGGCCTCCACCCCGGAGCAAGCTTCACAGAGCAGGGTCTGTGACAGCCGGGGAGGCCGAAGCTCCGGGGCCCCTCTCGTGCACCAGTCCTTTCCAAGGCCCTATACGTAGCGTATTCTTTCCTGTAAAGAAGGCCTCCAGGGCTTCCCCGGTGGCGCAGTGGTTGAGAGTCTGCCTGCCGATGCAGGGGACACGGGTTCGTGCCCCGGTCCAGGAAGATCCCACATGCCATGGAGCAGCTGGGCCCGTGAGCCATGGCCGCTGGGCCTGCGCGTCCGGAGCTTGTGCTCCGCAACGGGAGAGGCCACAACAGTGAGAGACCCGCGTACCGCAAAAAAAAAAAAAAAAAAAAAGAAGGCCTCCCAAATTAAATAAGTTTTGGGCCCCAGAAATTCCCGTTCCTCTCCATCCTTTGGCATCAATGGTATATGCAAGCCCCCTTCGTCTGTAAGTATTTTGAGATTAGTTTATATTTGAAATTAGAATTTTTAGGCCTAGAAACTCAACAGGGGCCATTAAGATGATGACAAATGCTCTGCTTTGATAGGGAAATATAAAGTTAAGAACAAAGGGAATTCCTGAGCGACTTGATCCTATCTGTAATGTCTGTAGTTCTGATTTGCTGGGGAGGATATTTTCACTTGCTGATCCTGCCTCAGTCAGAGGGTGGATGTTTTAAACCCTGTCACAAATATAGCAGCACTTGCTTTTGTGTGTGTTGCTTAGGAGCCTTCAGAAGCCTCTCAACAGCTGGAGAGACTTCTGCAGGGATGAAGATGGCACACGCTCTCCCTTGCTACCACAGCAGAACCAAACCTCCTCAATGGCCTGGAATGTGAGGTCATATGGTGACCGTCTGTTTCCCTCAGGGCCTTCTATCTCTCTGTGGACATTTATACAATGTCCCTGTAGTTCCCGGCACTGTGAGAGATCCTGAGCCTTTCCAGGGAGCAGGGAGGGGGCATTCCTGCTGGGATGGCTCGGTTCCTCTCTGGAGCTGCTTGGGAGCAGGCACAAGAGCTCGGATCCTGTCTGCATGCCCACTCCCTGCATGGCGCTGTGAAGAAGCCAGGCTCCTTTCTGTCTCTCTCCCTCCTGGATTCCACTGGAAGACTTGACCCACGTTCAACCTGCTTCTAATCCTGGCGTTGAGTCAGCTCCTTTTATTTCCACTCGGAGTTCTGCCAGCTCTGCTCTCAGCTATGGATGCAAACTGCAGAGGCATTTCCTGTTCCAGGTGGTTTTGAGCAGAAAGCCAGGCAGCATGGGTTGAAGGTAGGTGGGGTGAATTCTTTAGGAACTGCTCCCGCAATGTGAGAGTAATTCAAAGTTACACAGGGTTGACTTCCAAAGCACCCAGCCCCGAGTGGAAACAAGGCTTGTTGAGCTAACTTTAGAAACGTAACAAGCATGGACCACCTTCGGATTTCCCTTGTGCACACACCAGACCCTGCGATTTCCAGATAAGAGGACAGAGGCTGGCTCCAACCTCCCAGGGAGGTCCAGTGCTTCTGGGGAGCTGAGAATTCATCCTGAGACATTCAATCAATCTCTTCGGGATGGACATCTGCTTCTCTGAAATCCACACACCAAAGCAGTAGCAATGGGCAGGTTTAACATATGTTCTCCAGTGAAAAATCGTCCCCACTCCATCTCTGGCCGTGACTGACACCTCAGAGCAATTCTGGGAGGCTCCATGAGTTGCAGCAGACCCAGCTGCAGTGAGGAGCTTGGACAAGCTGCTGAACTCCTAGAGCCTCATTTTCCTCCTCTGCGAAATAGGCACGTCAATTCTCTGCAGTACATTGTGGAGTAAAGCAAAGCAGAGCAGGGCTCAATGACTGGGAGTCACAATGTCGATGTCACTGTTATTATTGGAATGTGTGGCCCTCAGGCTTCAGGAGCGGAGAGGGACCACCGTGAGAGCTGGCTCCCCGGGCACCATCCACTAGTTGTTATTTGTTGGCCCTAAGATGGGTTCCAGTGAAAAGTCATTTTTACTACAGGAATTAGGTGTTGAGTGATCTAAGAGATTCTGACATCCCTCTGTCATTCTTATATCACGCAGAAACATAGCAGTAAAAATAATGTTCCCATTTTCACCAGATACCTTGGGCTGGAGGAACAGTGCTGGGAAGTCTCGGAGGGCAGGACTGGAAGCTGAGGAACTTATTTGCAGGGCACCTACTGGTGCTTTATGGAAGGGCCAGTAAGCCGACCTCGGAATTGCCCCAGCACCTGAGATACTGGGATCATGATTTTTGAATATGATAAGGGTCAAAGGTGATGGCAGACTCCCACAGAGGCCCAGTGCTTCTGGGGAGCAGGAATGTCAACTCCAGGTCTGGGAGGGCCAGTGTACCAGTTGGAAAGGCTAACTTTGGGGGTGACACTGGGTGATGGGGCTCTGAAGCAAATGCTGGTAAATTTGACCAAATTTCCTGAGGTGGGCAGAAAGGAGGGAGACTCTTTGAGACTTTAGTAAAAAGGCCATCACTTTGAAGAAGGTGCCGAGAGCAGCACAAGGCCCAATTTCGGAAAGCATTTACGAGCATTGTTCTAGTTGTAGAACAACAGCTGGGACAGTTTCAGAGAACAGTGCCAGGCAGGACTGGGCCAGCGTCCATGCCGGGGAGGTGGAAAAAACCACGGACGGGGCTGATGAAAACTGACATGGATGTCAACCCAAAGGACAGCAAGGTCCTAGGCTGGCAGCAGGAACAGCAGCAGCCATTATGGCCTCCAGGACACAGGTGGATGGGAGGCAGGTAAGAGCGTTGGGAGGAGGGGGCAGGGCTACCTGAGCTCTCCTGGGGTTACTTTGGGGAACTTAGGCTATCCCAATTCCTCACAACTTCTTTCACTCACTTCTGTCACCCGCTTTCCTGTCCGAAGCTGGTGGTTCCTACTCACCCCTTCCCCTCGCCCCTCATCTACCTTGGGGATGGCTGCACTTGAGCCAAATACGACAGCACTGTTTGGTCCATGCTGATTACTCACAGCATTACACCTAAAATATGGGTATAAAACCAATGGCTTGAGAGCACCCCTTCAGCATTTTGCTGAACCAAATTAGCAGCCTGATTGTCCAAATCAATGCTCAGAACATAAACTATGAGTCAAACAATTTTTTGTTTTACCCAGAAAACTGTGGGCAGGTTTATCTTCCACCACGCGAATCCTTCGAGCTCCAGCTGGAATGATAGCAGCTTCAATATAACCTGTAGTGACAAGATAACACACAGGTGAGCCGACCAGACCTCTACCCTCCATCAGAGGCCCCGCAGCACCCCCCCCCACCAAAACCCACGCTGCTGCACCCCCATGGTAATTTCAGAGCCTGCAGGCTTGCAGAGCTCTGAGAAATCAAGACAGTCAAGAAGTGTGCTAGGAATCTAGAATCCAGAATCTCCTGGCTGCCCAAATTCCAGAGAGCACCACTTGCATGTATTATGAGTTGAACTGTGTCCTCCCACCCCCAAATCCATATGATGAAGTCCTAACCCCCAGGACCTCAGAATGTGACCTTACTTGGAAATTGGGCTGCTACAGATGTAATTAGTTAAGATGAGGTAATACTGGTGTAGGGTGGGCCCCTAATCCAATATGACTGGTGTACTTATAAAAAGAGGAAATCTGGACACAGACATGTACACACGGAGAACACCATGTAAACATGAAGCAGAGATCGAGATGTTGCATCTTACAAGCCAGAGACTGCCAGAAAACCACCAGAAGCTAGAAGAGAGGCACGGGACAGATTCTTCCTCACCTTCACGAGGCGCCAACCCTGCCGACAACTTGATCTCAGACTACTAGCCCCCAAAACTGTGAGACAATAGGTGTCTCCTGTTTATGCCACCCAGTTTGTGGTACTTGGTTACAGCAGCCCTAGCAAACTAAGAGCCTGGAGTTTTTGTGAAGAGCACCTCCCTAGAGCATGGGTGTAGAGTGCCCCTGGCTGTGTCATCTATTGGATTCCTTCACTCTTTGCTGTACTTTGAACTTTTTCCTGATTCCATGGGATGACAGCAGAAGCTAGGCTACTTGCCCTATGACAAAACCACTGCCTCAATACTGGGTACCATTTCCTGCTTTCAGTGCCGTTTGGGTGTTTCTGCAACTGTTGCAGTATGTACTTTTGTCCATTTCCTTGAGTACTTCCAAGTATAATGGGGTCCCTCAGAGGCCAGGGCCTTCTGCCCATGCTCTGACCCCACATGTGCCCAGAATGGCAGGTGGTTAGCAAAGATTCAGGAGGAAATGATTGAGGCTGTCAGGGAGGAGGTCAGGGGCTGGCTGATGCCTGGTTAACTGGGCAACTGTGTCAACTAATGAGTCCAACATAATAGTGAGATTCTGAAATGCAGGCTGGTAATCATTTTGTTTTGGCTTACATTTGGGTTTTAGACAAAGGTAATGTGCATTTGCTTCAGTGTTTTAGATGATGATACCAAATTAGATGATAAATCCTACCCCTGTGGTTCCCAAATGTGATCATCAAAATCAGCAGGGGAGTTTTAAAAATGAGAGATTTCTGGGCCCAGGTATGTAGAGATTATGGAAGTATCTATTTTGAGGAGTTTATTTTCTCATAGTAAAAATGGCTTTATTTTCATTATAAATATAGTACATGATAATTCAAACCACAAAAGGGGAAAAACTAAAACCAACCTATACAACATAGCACCAAGAAAATTACCCATATTTTTGATGACCAGCCTTTTCAGCATCTCTTAATGCATATAAACACACACACACATCATTTTATGCCAATAGGGTACTATATATGGTTTTAAAAGATCAGGGATAACTTTAAAATAATTAAACAGTTTTGCTAGGCAATGTGTGCCCAAGGTGTAAAATTCAAAAGTTATAAAAGGATATAGTAGAAAGTAGATTGATCTGATAAGATACATCCTGTAGCTGGCTGTCTTTCTAACACTCTTATTGTTTACAATAATTTGTTATTTTTTGGCTAGGTTTCTAGGTAATTAACTGAAATGTGCCCATATGACAGTATTGTTTCTTCCTTTCTGATCTTTATGCTTTGGATTTCTTCTCCTTTCACCATTCTGGTTGGAACTTACAAAACCACGTCATATGCCACATGAGATAGTGGCATCCTTGTCTTATTCATGTTGGAGAAACGCCTCCAGAGTTTTCCCACTGAAAATGATGTCAGCAGTGAGAATGTGATAGGTATCATTTACCAGGTTAGGGAAGTTTTCTTTTACCCTAGTATGTTAAGAGCTTTTGTTATGAAGAGGTATTGAAGTTAATCAAGTGCTTTTTTGCATCTACTGAGATCATCATATTGTTTTTCTCCCAAACAATACAAAGACTTCAGAGCACTTTAACTGTAATCACACTTGTCATGGCTAACATGGTGTGTGGGTCGGTATCTCAGTCTTGTTTTTCCTTCACCAATACATTTTAGTTCATTGTTATTTCTTTTTTATTCTGATGTTTTCCTGTAAACCTTTAATTATATTTATATTTCTATTATGTGACTTAGCTGTAAGTAAAATATTTTAATCTCTGGATATTAAAAGATGAGGAAATCAGCATAAGTATACCACCCTCCACTCTCTTACACCCCTCTTCAACTTTTACTGAATCATTCCTACATTGTATTAGTTTATGACATTTATCTTTTGGTCTCTAAGATAATTCCTGCAGTTGTTTTAGTTTTAGTTCTACAAATTAATTTAATGTTTACTATGTGTCTTTTTTCCATCTTTTCCAATAAATTCCTGCTTTCCTCAAGTTTGTTCTGAGATGGGCTCAAAGAAAATTACAGTTTCTGAATTGTAATATAGTGAAAAAAAATACTGTTCATTATCCTGATACTTGAATACCAGTTTGGTTGGTATAAGATCCTTGAGTCACACTTTCTTTCTCTGAGGCTATTATTTGAATTGTTCCATTGAATGCTAGTGTGGAAAAGTCTGAGTCCAATCTGATGTTTTCCCTTTATTAGCTTACCTAAAATTTGGATCAGATACTCAAAAGATTCTTAACTCTAAAATCTAATAACTGTTAGGCTATTCATAGTTTTGTGTAACTTCTTCCTGGGACACAAAGCTATATTATTATTATTAGACTTAAATATATATATATATTTATTTATTTATTTATTTATTTATTTATTTATCAATTTGTTTGGTGTTCTTTTTTCAGGGATACCAAATTATTTGTGTTTGATCCCCCTTTGTTTCCATAGTGCTCATTTAATCTCTTATCCTTCTGATTCTTTGTTTCCATTTTGCTTTGCTCATTTTTCTCAGTCCTGTCCTCCATGCTTCTCATTGTGTTCTCAGCAGTGAGATTTCCTTTGCTTCCATGCAGACTTGGTTTCTGTGATGGACTCATTTTCTTCTTCTACACTTTTCCTCAGCTGAGTCACATTTCATCTCCCTTTGTTGCTTCACTGCTTATTCCTTGAGATCTCATATCTTATCAATGAGTTCTTCTTTTATTGAGGGTATTATTTAATCAGTTTTTGGAATTTATGGCAATAACGTTTGGTCAAAATTTTCATCTTCTCCTTGGTAACATTTTGCTGGTGAGTTTTTTTAAATCAGTCATTTGTTCTCCTTGTCCCTTTTATCCTTTTCCTATTGCAGTATACGTGTGTTGATCCTGTACTAATTTTCTTTCTAAATTTATTACTAATTTTTAAGTGACACAGGTTCTAATTGTACCAGCTTCCTCTATGTTTGTGTGGGAAGAACAGGACAATGTTGTGGGCTAACAGAACTTTCCCTTAGTTTACAGTAAAATTTGTTAGGACATGGGTTTGTGTGTATCAGAGAGTTAATTTTTATGTTTGTAAACATTTATGTATTTTAAATTTACAGAAATATACATGTGTATTTTCCCATTATCAAAATTTTAATAATACAGGTAAATCTCAAGTCCCCTTACTCCCACTCCCCTGCCCTGTGGGAACTGCCACTATTAGTTTGGTATATATTCATTCAGATATTTTACTATTTATCCAAATATCTACACAAATATAAATATGAAAATATCACATGGTATATTTTTTATTTGTCTACATTTTATATAACTTAGGAATAACATTTATGACTACTGTATTATACTACAATTTTTTAAAAAAGCACGATGTGTCTTGGAAAGCTCTCCATGTGAGTACGTATAGCTCTCCTTATTTTTCATTTAAATTGCTATGTAGTTTATGTAACTACGCCCCTACTGATTTAGGTTATTTCAAAATTGTCATTTAGAACGTTTAGGTTGTTTCAAAATTGTCACTTTTGGAAACAATGCTGTATCATGTATGAATAGGCACACAAAACCCCTCAATTAAATACCAGCAACCTATTCCAACAACATAAAAAAAGATTATACACCATGATTAAATATAATTTATCCCAGGAATTCAAGGTTGGTTTAACATATAAAAACCAATCAGTGTAATTTATTCAAAAAAGGGCAAAACCCACCTGGTCATTTCAGTGGATGCAGAGAAAGCATTTGGCAAAATTTAATACTCTTCCATGATAAAAATACTCAACAAACTATGAATAAAAGAAAATTTCCTCAGCCTGATAAAGAGCATTTATAAAAACCCCACAGCTAATATCAAACTTAATGGTAAAATAATGCTTTCCCCCTAAGATCAGGAAGAAGCAAAGGATGTTCACTCTTGCTATCTCTACTCAACATTGTACTGGAAAGTTCTCTCTATGTCAATTAGGCAAGAAACAATTTTTTAAAACGCATCCAAATTGGAAAGGAGGAAGTAAAATTATCTCGATCTGCAGATGTCAAGATCTTATATATAGAAAAATATTAGAAAAGCCACTAAAATCTGTTAGAACAGGTTCAGAAAGGTTGCAGGATATAAGATCAATATACAAAAATCAACTGCATTTCTATACATTAGGGGTAAACATTTCCAAATAAAATTAAGAAAACAATTAGACTTAAATAACATCAAAAAGAATAAAACACTTAGGAATAAATTTAACAAAAGATGTGCAAGATTTCTACACCAAAGACTGCAAAAACACTGTTGAAAGATATTAAAGAAAATCTAAACAAATGGAACAACATTCCAGGTTCATGGATCAAAAGATGGAATACTTCAAAACTGACTTACAGATTCAAAACAATCCTTACTAAAATTCCAGCTTGTTTTGCCCAAAATGACAAGATGATCCTCAAATTCATATTGAAATGCAAGGGACCC